TGGTGCCACTGCTGTAAAGGCTCTGCATCTGGTTGCTGTTGGATGCAAGGTCTTGACACTGGGAATTTCCAATAAATCTTGGTCCTCAGAACGGAGGGATCTCTGGGGTTGGTAGGGGGTGAGGCGGTCCCTCCGGTACATCAGCCCCAGACTATGCAAGGCCTTAAATGTAAGTACTATCACTTTGAAAGCATTTGTCCAGCATGTGTCCAGCTGACCACCTGGACACAGCATATTATTTGAGAACACAGAAATGCTGGACCACACCAACAACCACCATGTCAGACTACACAGAGAAGCCATTAAAATCCACAAGAAGCATGTGGACAATTTCAACAGAAAGGAGGAAACCATGAAAATGAACAAAATCTGGCTACCAGTATTAAAAAAAACTCTAAAATTACAACAGCAAAACAACAGAAGGAAACAATCAGGGACATCTAATCACCTCTCAACAAAAGATTGCCCCAGGCACTGCCAGGCCATTATATGCTAATCAAGGTGGTCAGTTGAAACATTCACACCTAGCTCCAGCAGACAAGAGTCCTTTGTCTCACCCTGGTCATTCCACAGATATATAAACCCTTTTTCCTAGTTCCAACAGACCTCACTACCACTGAGGATGCTTGCCATAGATGCAGGCGGAACGTCAGGGGAGAATGCCTCTAGACCATGGCCATATAGCCCAAAAAAAACCCTACAACAACCCACAAACTGATTCCATTATCATCAAAACTCAAAGGAAAGAAATAGGAAGAGTTGCACATGTTTGGGTCCCCCCCCCCCTCCCTAATTAACTAAACTAGCTTTTCGCCCTTTAAGTCAACAACTCTAAAAAAGATACAAAATGTTGCTGGTAAACTTTCCTTGAACTGTGATGATAACACATTAGAAAAAAGAGAAACACAATAACATTATAACAAAAAAAAAAAACCCACACATAATACTTTGACTTTTGCATTTGGACTAGAAACCGGTAATAATTTATTTTGTCACTTGTTTCAATAAGACACTTTATAATAAGCTGAAATTAAAAGACAAGGTGAAGACGCATCCAAAGAAAAGGATGAATTGCTATGAGATGGGATCTACTGCCCCCTCCTGGAAGGAAAGCATCACTGAAAAAGCATGAAATGATGGCATTGTATGCTGTGAGGATCATAGTCCCATAACAATGCTTACTCATTACTTGTATAGCTGGATACTATACTTCCTCTCGGGAAAAACATACTAATTTGTGTGAGACTTCCATAAATCCTCCATACAGTCTGGCCAAGGATCTCTCCAATCCCAGCATCCAGGAAAATTGCAAAGCAGCAGAGTGAATAATGGTAGGTTGTTGTAGGATTTTTCAAGCTATATGGCCATGCTCTAGAGGCATTCTCTCCTGACGTTTTGCCTGCATCTATGGCAAGCATGCTCAAAGGTAGTGAGACGCTTGCCATAGATGCAGGCAAAACGTCAGGAGAGAATGCCTCTAGAACATGTCCATATAGCCCGAAAAAACCTACAACAACCCAGTGATTCCGGCCATGAAAGCCTTCGACAATACATTGAATAACGGTAATTTACCTCTTCAGTTGTGTGTCCCATGCATATCTCAAGATCAGAATAGAACATACTTGCTAACATCTATATAAATAAAAATTTAATGTTCGTTTGTGGGATTAACATAACTCAAAAACCACTGGACGAATTGACACCAAATTTGTACACAAGACACCTAACAAACCAATGAATGACCATCGCTCGTAAAAACACTGAAAAACACAGTAGAGGAGACATAAAAAGCCAAAAAAAACCCCACCCCATTACAACGCATGCACAAAACCACATATATACATAAACACACATTTTTATTTATTTATTTATTTATTTATTTACAGTATTTATATTCCGCCCTTCTCACCCCGCAGGGGACTCAGGGCAGATTACAATGTACACATATATGGCAAACATTCAATGCCAAAGACACACAACAGATATAGACAGACAGTCAGAGGCTATTTAACTTTTCTGGCTGCCAGGGGAGCTGTCGCTTTCATCGTCCATCTGCGACACTGATGGAGTACTTCTGCATTCCCTGCATGCTTTGCTGGAGTGCTTTGCTGGAGTCTTTTTTATGGCCTTGTAAATTAGTTAAATTAGCCTCCCCACATATAGGTGGTACCTAATTTTCCTACTTGACAGATGCAACTATCTTTCAGGTTGCAAAGGTCAACAACAAGCTACACAATTGGTCGGAAGCTCACTCCAACCCGGGCTAGCTTCGAACTCATGACCTTTTGGTCAGAAGTGATCTTAATGCAGCTGATTCCTGCTTCTTGGCAGGGGGTTGGACTGGATGGTCCATGAGGTCTCTTCCAACTCTTTGATTCTATGATTCTATGATTCATGACCTTTGGTCAGAAGTGATCTTAATACAGCTGACACTCAGCCAGCTGTGCCAAATATATACACACAATTATATGCATATATACACACACAAAACACATATACACAGACTGGGCCCCAGCAACGCGTGGCAGGGAATAGCTAGTCACTAATAAGAATGATAGAGATGTGTTCCATGTTTCTAATGCTTGGATCACTCCCTCTGGAACACACATATACATGTTGAAATTTCATGGTACATTAATAGTAAACTCCTAAAATGATCCTGCATTCTCTGTCCTTTTTTGCAATAGAGTAGATGTCAGATAGAGGATTTTTAAAAAAAATCACTATCCTAAAAACTGAGATTTTGCAGGTGAAAGGCTTCTGATGTGCTATGATGGAATCCTATGGACACTTTACTTCCGATACAACTAAGAAGGAACTATGTTTAAGTGAACTTGTATGCTATCTGATGCACCTCAGAATAGGTTCACCTTGGTGAAAACACCAAACTGCACACAGCCACAAGTCTTTATAGTTTATTAAAAGTCAAAGATAAAAAGTTCTTAAAAGCAAAAGTAATGTTCTTAAAGATCAATACAAAACAACACTTGGAAGTATGAACCAAAAAGGCACCAGCAAAGTAAAATCCCATGAGAACATGACTGAGTCCTGAGACCATGAACACAAAAACTGCAAGATAATCCAGACAAGCAAAAGGTAAGCTTCTTGGTTAAGGTAAAATTGCTCTGACAAAGATTTGGTCCCAAACACACTGCTTAATACCCTTTGCAAAACATGAAGGCGTTTCTTTGGCCTCTGACCTCCTTCTTGTTGGTTATTCTCACACTCTTTCGAACTCTGAATTCCAAGCGGTCAGCACGATCTAACATTCCCGTTTCGTCAAGGTCAGGCTGCTCATTAGTGTTATCAAGTTTGCCTTCCTGCTCATTATCAGGCTGAGAACTGTCCTCCTTTTCTGAGTCAATTTGCACCTGCACCTGGCTAGTTTCAGTATCAACAAACTCATTCCTTGCTGTGGGAAACTGAACTTCCACACCCTGTTCCTCATTGACTATAACAGATACATTTTGAACCAGATTGTGAACCTGAATCCCATCATTGTCATCAAAGGCACTCTGTGGTTCCAGCTGAGTCACAACACTATCACAGCATTGGGTTGCTGTGAGTTTTACAGGCTATCTAGCCGTGTTCAAGGAGCATTTTCTCCTGACGTTTTGCCTACATCTATGGCAGGCATCCTCAGAGGTTGTGAGGTCTGTTGGAAATTAGGCAAGTGAGGTTTATATATCTGTGGAATAATGTCCATGGTGGGAGAAAGAGCTCTTGTCTGCTGGAGGCAAGTGTGAATGTTGCAATTGGCCACCTTGATTAGCATTGAATGGCCTTGCAGCTTGAAAGCCTGGATGCTTCCTGCCTGGGGGAATCCTGTGAGATTAAATCAGTCCCCTCCCTTCTGGTGTTTAGAAAACAACTCAAAACCTGGCTATGTAAGCAGACGTTCGGCAAGTGACTGTACTACTGAAGCAGCTAAATGGCAACCAGGGGATTGGTACAATGTCTAAAATGTCTAATATGCTTTAAGTCCATGTTTGGTGTGTTTTGTTAATTTGTAATGGTTTCAATTCATAGTTATATGTTATTGATTTAGATATGCTATGTATTGCTTTTATATGAGTGTTTGGCGTTGAACTTTTGCCATTCATTATGTAGTATACTGCTTTGAGTCTGTCCCCCCGTCCCCCCAAGGGGTGAGAAAAGCAGGTAAACTTGTCGCAGGCCTCAAGTTTACCTGAAAAGTTATATTGAGGAAGTGACATCCAATGATGTAGTCTAGAGTCCACAGGAGCTTATGACAAATAAAACCTGTTTGTCTTTATGGTGACATGTGACTCTTTGTGGTTTTAAAGAGGGAACACACACACTCTCACACACAATGTCTGTACTGTGCCTTTCAACAGTTAGGAGCCTTCCATCTGGAAGTACTCAGTACCTCTAGCAGTCCAGAGGCGTGACATGTTTTATCAACAATGTCGAGGTAAGCATCCCTTACCTCCCTTCTTAGTATAAAGACAAAGTTCCAGACACTCAATGTCTCTTCCTGAGATTCCACAGCAATGAACCATAGCTATTAAGGTGGTGCCAAACTGCATTCATTCTACAATGTAGTAGATGCACCCTAAGTCCCTAACTGAAATTACAAAGCTCAAGATTTTACAGAAAGGAGCCATGAAAGCAAAACCAAGGTGCTACTGAGTTAGTTGTAACAACAATGTGATTATGGATGGAAGACTTGAAGAGGATAAATCCCACTTTCAACCCTCTGAAGGTCTAAGAGGCATACTTTTCACATTTCACCATCTCTTCCCTGAGGGAGGATATTTCATTTTGGAGTCATTCTTTCAAAACAAAACTGAGGAAGCACTCTCTTCCACACTCAAAACTATCCGGAATGACCCATCAATTTGGCTGTCCTCCTCAGAGATAAGCCCAACAGCTGTACCTTCTCGGTCAGCATCTGAGGCAGAATATGTGTTCAAACTCTGCAAACAGCATTGACCGACTTAATCTCATATTCCTTTAGCACCGCTAAGCACACTCACAGATTTTGTATCCCAGCTTTTCAGCATGAATCCTTTTGGCCATGAACTGCCCTTCGATCAAGGCACGTATCTCCACTTCTTTAGGAAATGTTGTCACCTGGATAGAAAGACAGACATTAAATAAACAGGTCCGTATCCAGTGAGGCAACAGAGGTCATGTTTTGGAGGGATCTTGAGTTAGACTTTGTGGGGGGAAACTAAGGATATTAAAGGTAAAGTTTCCCCCTGACCTTAAATCCAGTCGTGTCTGACTCTGGGAGGTGGTGCTCATCTCCATTTCTAAGTCAAAGAGATGCTGTTGTCTGTAGACACCTCCAAGGTCATGTGGCCAGCATGACTGCATGAAGCACAAAAGCGGTATCTATTGATCTACTCACATTTGAATGTTTTTGAACAGCTAGGTTGGTAGAAACTGGGCCTGACAGCAGGACCTCACTCCACTCCCTGGATTTGAATTGCCGACCTTTCAGTCAGCAAGTTCAGCAGCTCAGCGGTTTAACCCACTGCATCACCTCAAGCTCAAGCATACTTAATTCTTATTCTTCTACATTATCATCATTGTCAACAACATGCATGTACACACTGGGTTTTATAACAACATAACTCATATTCTTGTCCCAAATACCACATTCTACAGTCCTGGAATCAAGCACATTGGGAAGAATCTCCTATATATCTGTACATTCATTTCTCTATATACCCCCCACTATAAGAAATACTATTTTTTCCATTTTCTTCCAAAATATTTTTTGTCATTTCTGGACATGGAGAAACGAGAGTCAAAAACACAATTATTTGCAAAAAGCTTTCTTCTTCTATTATCACCTTCATTGATTAATAGTGTAACCATATTATAATGAGAAGTCAATGCCAGTGAGTAAATAAATATAGTCTTATTCCACAAATATTAAAGTTCCCATAATTTCAGTACACATTCTTGTTTATTTCTCAGACACTTAAGAATGTTCAGTCTCCAAGAATCAAGTGTGACTGAATTTGGTGGTTTATTTTCACGTATACAAACTAGAAATGGACATTTGTTCAAAGTAGTTTAGAATCCTCATCTCATTTATTCTAATAGCCAGGCTGCAAGATTAAGCTGTGCATACTTCTAAAAATGGAAGGTTGTGGTTGAGAGAGGAATGGAAAGTTGTTGTCATTAAATCAGATGTTTAGAAAGGATTTGAATCAAAACATCTTGTGTGCAATTTCCATGCTCTGTATATTCTGCAGAACCCAAAAACCTGGTCACTCTTTTGTGACATTTTGGGCAGCCCTAATAATTGTATTTATGATATTTGTATTTATGGTATTTGAGATAATTCTTAAAACAAAAATATAAGGTTGTTCTTACTCTTTCGTTGCGTTTGTTGAATCTGTGAATTCCCTCTGCATTGGGTATAATCTCCATCACATCAAAATAAAAACCTAAATAAAAAGTTGGAGAGATTGTTGTTTGCACTTAGTTAACGAAGGCTTATCTGTAATCTAACAAAATTGGTAAGACAGGGTTTAATCATAGTTTGAAATGGGAGTAGCTTTTCCTTTTATTAAGTATCGCTTGTATAAATTATTTTGGTGGCTCCCCATAATCTGCTATAGATATCAACATTTGCAGTTACACTAAGAGAAATGTATGTTTCTTGTCTCAATGACTCCTTTGCTGACACATGGACCCACAGGGAAAGGATGGGAAAGGAATTAAAAGTATCTAAGCAAAGTTTTCTGCCAATTACATACCTACATTTCCTTCATTCCCAACAGGTGTTGATGCTAATGCTTTGGAGAACTCTTCCCATGAGCCGGAGGCAATCTTATCTCGTATCTTCTCTCTCATCAAAGAACCATTCTTATAACTAAATTATAAAATGAAAATAATAATAAAAAGTAGATGCCTCTCCTGTGATACCTGGATAGAATTTTACAGTGATATATTGTTTAAACATAGTTCAGAAATATCTGCATTGAGACTTTCTTTTGGGCAAACAACACAGGACTGAATGGTAAGCGTGACAAAGTGAAGCTATATCCATTTTGGCATATGTTTATATTAAATTCAATATTAGAGGCTTTAAAATGTGCACAGGCATATTGATGTTGGCATATATTTATATTAAATTCAGTATGAAAGCCTTTAAAATGTGTGCACCCAATGACACCTCAAAACATACGGAGAATGTTTTCAGTCCTCATTATGGAAGGCTGAGTGATATCTCTGTGTTCTCTCTTAACTACAAACAGAAACAAAATGTTAAAAATATATTTCTTGGCTGATTGTTTGGCCAATGAAAACCAAAAAAAATATGAAATTACAATACACCAGAAAACACGGGAGTAAAATATATTATTTATTATAAGCGCAGGAAAATAAAATCCAAACATAATTTTCAAAAAATACTAGGCAAGTAAAACAAACATGCAGGTCTCAATCTACATCTGAGTTGTATCCCCTGATTAGGTGTCAATAAACAGTGATATAAATTCAGAGACTAAGCTTATTTTTTTGTAATGAGTGGAAAAAGCATAGTCTTGATGATTTTTTTTTTCGTATCACGAGCAACTTGAGAAATTGCAAGTCACTCCTGGTGTGAGAGAATTGCCTGTCTGCAAGGACATTGCCCAAGGAAATGTCCAGATGTTTTTTTACCATCCTTGTGGGAGGTTTCTCTCATGTCCCTGCTTGGGGAGCTGGAGCTGACACGGGAAGCTCAACCCACTCTCCCCGGATTCAAACTGCTGACCTACTCGCTCTATTTCTCTCCAAATACCCATCCTAGTTATATGTCACCTTGTCATGCCCAGTATTTTAAAATTTTAATTATTACATTTGGCCCTGCCATAGGTTTTTAATGCGTCGTGGTGTTACTGTTATTGTTTATTGCTTTGTTTATGAGTTATTTATTGTCTGTATTGCTATGTTGTGTTTTATTGATGTATTTGGGCTCGGCCTCTTGTAAGCCACACCGAGTCCTCCAGGAGATGGTAACGGGGTATAAATAAAGGATTATTATTATTATTATTATTATTATTATTATTATTAACCTATTGCGCCACTGGGTGTTCAAAAAATATTATTCCCACATACATCTTCTGTACATCTAACATTTATGGATATTTTTCAACAACTGAAAGTTGGTTTTTCTCTCAAATCTAATTTGAAAATTTCTGCATCAACAGTGACATACCTGGGAAAGAGAATCCCACCATCTATGTCAGTGGTTGCCAACCTAAGGTCTGTGGACCACCAGTGGTCACCATCACTGCACTGTTGCCTTGAAACAATGTGGCAACAAGAGTGACTGGTCTGGCAAAACCCTCTTATAGTGCCAAGGCAACAGGAATGTTTGGTGGGGAGAAGCTGACTACCCATGAAAGTTTACTACTACCACATCAGCTCTAGATTGTCAAATATGGTTTTCTGTGAGAGAGCAGATGGTGATGACTGGATGGCATATGTTCTGTATCAGAAACTAGAGCTGATGTGGTCTATCCAATGCAAATAACCAAACCAGATCAAAAACTGATTTGTAGCCCTTTCAGTACTAATTTTGGAGAGTGATCCCTGGTCAAAGGAGTTCCTGGTCAAATGGCCCCTGGTCAAAAAAAGGTTGGGAACCACTGATCTATGTCAAAGTAATGTCACAGATTGCAGGAGGGTACCTATAAAGGCAGCCATCACAATCAAAACAAGAAAAGGCGCATTACCACAGCAAGGCCATGAAGGCTTCGGTATCCACAGGACTGCAGAGGATGTGACCTTCTAAAGCAGGTTTGGGCTGCTTAATCCAGAGAAACAATGTGTCACTGGTTCCAAGGCTAATCTGTGGGAGAAAATAATTGAGGCGTTAGCACAATGTGCATGAAAAGCAATACAGAAATTAAATTAAACCCATTCATTTGTACGACTAATTATAGCTAAATTGCACATTAAGGCAATTGGATTCTTCTGGTATCAGCTAGCCTTGTCACCTTTTCATGAAAGGTAAGGTAAGACTAAGCACAATGAAACGTAAGGATTTCTTAGGAGAAACTCACAAATCACTAAAATGGCTGTAATACTATGTGATGAAATTTGCATGCATTAAATAAGCCACCACAGCGACAAATACCCCAGACAAAGCTTTCATTTCACCTGTTCTCCTGGCTTCGTGACAAGCAATCCTTTTTGTTGTGTTTCATCCCTGGACTGCACAAAGACTCTTGTGTCATCAAGTCTCCTGTCCTCAATGAGGAGCTGGAGATAGGATTAGGCTGAAGGATTCCTTAAGCACATTCCTATGCATGTTTTTTATTTTTAAAAGAAAGGGCTTTGTCTTTCTTCCTCCTGCTAGCCACTGTCTTCTCCTCCTTTTGAAGATGTAGCAATGGCATCTCTGTAAGGGAATTTTTATTGCTCTGGGCTTAGCCATGTGTCCATTCGCCACCTTTGTCCTCTTCTGCTTTTTCTTCCTGTCAGTGAGGATGCACATTTTTTGCCTCTCTCTTTAGGCAAAATGTAGCTGCATGGATTTTTTGACTTTTACCTTTCTTAGAAGATGAGACTTAGTAAACTAGTCAGCTCCAAAACCTTTTCTATCAAGAATAGATTTTTTTTACTTCAATTATTTATTTATTTATTTATTTATTTATTTATTTATTTACGTCATTTTTATCCCGCCCATTTCAGCCCAAAGGCGACTCAGGGCAGCGTACAGACTGGCAACAATTAGATGCCTTATATATACACATATATCATTCAGAGAGCCAAGCAGAGCACATATATATCTACATTCTACATATGTTCTACATTTGTTAGACCAGGAACATGTTGAAGTTAGGTTTAAATGCTGGTGATATCTATGGAAAAGTTTGTAGAACCTCCATGCAAGAAAATCTAGCCCGACTTATAGTTCTTCCATCCACTGCCAAAACCATTTTTCTTTAGGCCATTAGCTACTGACTGATTTCTAAGGTAGGAGTTTTTAATGAGTGAGGAGTACTGTGCTTCTTAATTAATATAGGTGTTGTGTTTTAATATCAAAAATTGTTTTATATTAGCTTTTTTATTTATTTATTTATTATAACATTTATATGCCACCCTTCTCACCCCAAAGGGACTCAGAGCGGCTTACAAGATATATATACATACAATATATTATATTATTAGCATAGTACAATATCAGTATTAATTATTACTATATTGTATTATACCATTATATTGTAATATTATTAGTAATATTACATGTAATATAAATATAGAATTATAATATCATATTATTAGTAGTAGTATTATATTGCATTACATTATAATTTTATTCCTGTGTTTTTATGTGTGCCCAATCTTTGCAAGCTGGTTATTACCAGCCTTGCTTTCCAGTTTGGTCAGAAAAGGGAGTACGGTATATAAATCAAACCAATTGTTGATGATTACTATGATTTTTTTTCATGTCAGGAACAAATTGAGAAACTGCAAGTCACTTGTGGTGTGAGAGAATTTGGTCATCTGCAAGGACACTGCCCAGGGGACGTTTTGATGCTTTACCATCCTTGTGGGAGGCTTCTCTCATGTCCCCACATGGGTAGCTGGAGCTGACAGATGGGAGCTCACCCCACTCCCCAAATTTGAACTGCTGACTTGTCGGTCTTCAGTCCTGCCGGCACAGGGGTTTAACTCATTGCACCACCTGGGGCTCCGATGAAGATTTAAGGTCATAATTGTCTCTCTTCCAGAATGCAGAAGGAGTTACCAATTATTAATGGCATTTTCCAACCGAAATGAGTATTATGGAACCTAAAGACACTATTGTGTGTAACAGGGGTCCTCAAACTTTTTATACAAAGGCCAGGTCATAGTCCCTCAAACTGTTGGAAGGGCCGGATTATAATTTGGAAAAAAAACATAAATTCCCATGAACACTGCACATATCTTATTTGTATTGCAAAAAACACTTAAAAACAATACAATAATCTAAATGAACAATTTTAAGAAATAAAAACTTGTTAGTATTTCAATGGGAAGTGTGGGCCTGCTTTTGGCTTATGAGATAAGATTGTTGTTGTTGTTGTTGTTGTTGTGTGCTTTCAAGTCATTGCAGACTTAGGTTGACCCTGAGCAAGAACCAGGTAATTGACCTTGGAGGGCCGTATCCGGCCCTTGGACCTTAGTTTGAGGACCCCTGCTGTATAACTTAGGGTTTCAACTTTAATGAGCAGAAGGAATATTTCACAAAGGTACCAAGACTTACTGTAAGATCCCCTTCTGCAAGTCTCATTGCTGCCAGGGAGGCTGAAGAGGCAAAATGGATGGGAAGTTAGATTCAAGAGTAGCCTTTGGGCAGAAAGCCCAGGCAGAACCAAAAACTGTAATGAGCACTGGATATATTTTAATATCAATGGGACGTCATTCATTTTTTTATCATGTCAGAAGTGACTTGAGAAACTGCAAGTGAGAGAATTGGCCATCTGCAGAGATGTTGCCCAGGGGACACTGGATCCTGTCGGAGGCTTCTCTCATGCCCCCACATGGAAGCTGGAGCTAACAGATGGGAGCTCACCCCCTTCTCACAGATTCGAACCGCCAACCTTCAGGTCAGCAGTTCAGCCAGCACAAGGGTAGAACCCATTGCTTCACTGCGGCTCCTCATTGTACCATTGTGTCTAGCCCAGAACAATTCTGGCTTTTTTTTGTTTTTGGCCACTATTTATTCATGTTCAACTTGTGATCTATTAAGCGATCTGTGAGGTTTCTAAATAGAGATCACAAGGACTGCTTTCAAGACATGTGCCCCCCCCCCCCGTCCTGTATCTTTGTATTTCATTTTTTTCCACCTAAACATAGTACATCTATCCCTCTTGAAATTCATTTTCTAAATCTGTCAAGGTCATTTTGAACACTGACCGACACTTCAGTGAATATATTGAAGGGATAATATGGAATATATTTTATTATATTTCACTCTATTATAAAGATTCCGTGTTCTATCAACAAACTGAGCTTTCTTACCTGGGTTGTCTCCAGTAAATGCTACAACTTTACAGTTGGGATCAAACCCAAAACGTTTGATGTAATATGGTGAAACCGAGCCCTAAAATTGAGGGAGAAATGCAAAATAAAGTTAGGCAATGGCAGGTTTTTTGAAATCAAAGTTCCCTGGAGAAGACCCACAAAGCTTTACAAAGCCACTAGAAGCATTCAGCAAGGAAACTGGTTTGGCAACTCATCCAAATGTTGGAGGCTTCAATACGTTCTCAAAACAATCACTTTCTTTTTAAAGTGAATGTTTATAGAATGAGATTTAGATGGCATTTAATCCCTGAACCAATATCAACAACGTAAGGTAAAGATAAAGGTTTCCTTTGACATTAATTCTAGTCGTGTCCAACTTTGGGGGTTGGTGCTCATCTCCATTTCTAAGCCGAAGAGCTGGCGTTATCCATAGACACCTCCTAGGTCATGTGGTCAGCACCTATTGATCTACTCACATTTGCATGTTTTCAAACTGCTAGGTTGGCAGAAAGTGGACCTAACAGCAGGAGCTCATATCCCCGCATGGGGAGCTGGAGCTGACAGATGGGAGCTCACCCCACTCACCGGATTCGAACCACCAACCTTCCGGTCAGCATGTTCAGCAGCTCAGCAGTTCAAACCGCTGCACTACCATCAACAATGTATAAAGGTGTAAGTAATAAATGTTGGAAATGTGAAGCTCATGAAGAGTCCATATGTAGTAGGCCTTTAAAAAGGATAAAAATGCATGGGACAATCCATTTAATAGTTCAGACAGGATTCAGCTTCAAACCAGAATTTATACTACTATTCCTATTTGGCAATCAAATACGGAGCATGAGAGAATACTGCACTATGTGTTAAAAGCAGCAAAAATTCAATGAGCTCAAGAGGGGAAAAAGACAAAAACACCAACTACAGAAGATTGGACAGTGAAAATGTGAGAACTCAGAGAAATGGACAAGTTAACAAAGTTGTTAAAGGGTAAAATGAAACCAGTTTCCATTCATATACCTATGAAAATAGAAATATTTAAAATAAACCAATATTCCCAATAAATGTGGAAGATATGTGTTTTAACAGAGCCCCTGCTGGTGCAGCAGGTTAAACCGCTGAGCTGCTGAACTTGCTCACCAAAAGGTCGGCGGTTCGAATCCGAAGAACAAGGTGAGCCCCCACTGTTAGCCCCAGTTCTGCCAACGAGCAGTTCGAAAACATGCAAATGTGAGTAGATCAATAGGTACCTTCCAGCGGGAAGGTATCGTACTCCATGCAGTCATGCTGGCCACATGACCTTGGAGTGTCTATGGACAACGCCAGGCTCTTCGGCTTAGAAATGGAGATGAGCACCACTACCTAGAGTTGGACTCGACTAGACTTAATGTCAAGGGGAAACCGTTACCTTTACCTTATTATGGGTTTTAACCATTGGATCTACAGAGACACTCGCTGGAACACCCCAGCAAGCGAGACTCCAAAAGTGGCAGGCTCAAACCCAGAACCTCAATCAATGGCTGATACCAAATGAGAGACTCCCCCTGGGCACACAGAAAACTGGGCGACTTGGAAGGCACTGAACAGACTGCGCTCTGGCACCACGAGATGCAGAGCCAATCTTAAGAAATGGGGCTACAAAGTGGAATCCACGACATGCGAGTGTGGAGAAGAGCAAAGCACTGACCACTTGCTGCAATGCAACCTGAGCCCTGCTACATGCACAATGGAGGACCTTCTTGCAGCAACACCAGGGGCACTCCAAGTGGTCAGATACTGGTCAAAGGACATTTAATCAACTACCAAGCTTGCAAACTTTGTGTTTTGTCTGTTTGTTTTTGTTAAAAATGTAATACAACTGTCTGGTTACTCCTGACACAACAAATAAATAAATAAGTTAGTATCTTGACCAAAAAGATTCACCAGATCTCCACCAGAAAGTTGCTGCTATTCGTTTGCAGTATCAAATTAGTTTTGATTTGTGGCAACTAATAAATTTCTAGAAGTCTTGCTAAGGTTTTACAAAGTCAGGTTTTACAAGGAAGACTTTGACTTCCTTGAGTCTATCCATCAGGAATGTTGCCTTCCTTTTCTTCCACAGCCTCAATTTCATTGAGCAAATATCAGTTTACACCCCAGATCAGCACAACATAGAACTACATACCAATATTTTGCAGGATGGTACAGGATCGCCCAACTTTTTCCCTAATCCGGGGGCACAAGCATCAAGACAGGCTGGATTCCATACTTTCTTATGGATGTCGAATAAATTCATGCCAGAACCTGAGATAGAAAACAGTTCTGTTTCAAAAGCAAGAACACTGGTTTATGCAACACGGAGTGTCTCATCATATACATACTGTGGACCCATCACTGCTTCTTATGGCAGGTTTGTGTGTGCATTTTACAGAGCGTTCTCTATACCAGGATTTAATTGGTCTTTCCTTCCATCCCTTCTACTACCTTTCTTCACTTTTCACCTTCAATTAAGTCCTCCCTCCCTCTCTCTCTCTTTGTCCTCCATGCTTTCCCCTTCATCTCAGACAGCAATTGGCAAACCTTTTCCCTTAAGCATTTACCAAGTTATTTGCTCTGATATCTTCCAAGGTGTACGAGAAAAAAATTAGTAGGACTGTAATTTCCCTGGGGCTTGTTTCCACCCACTCCCACTCCCCCACCTCCATCCTTCATATATTCTCCTTTTTCTTAAATAAAGAGACTCCAAATCTGTTCTTCTTCTGGGATCCTGCCAGCTCTCCAGTTGCTCTGGAGGAAGGAGACATGGATGCATGCTGCCAATTGGCGTGAGCTGAACCGGCTCCCTTGCCATGGACCAGGAAGCAATTAGCAGGCTGGCACCGGGCCATGGGCACTTGTTCAGTTGAGAAACAGGGCTAGGAGGATTACAAGCACTCTACGAACCAGGCAGCTGACACAAATCCAGAGATATCACACACCTAGGTTGCTTCAGTTTCATGCACAGTATCCACTTTGTAATCTGGATCCTATAACACCATTTGCTATATATCAAGTACTTTACAAAGACTAATAAAATGTTCCCTTGGTACAAGGCTCGTCATCTGACTAAAAACGGGCAAAAGGGAATGGAAATAAGAGTAACCATGGAATAACTGAAGTGGGACCTTGGTATCTACAGAGGTTTGGGTCTATGATCCCCGTGGATGTCATTCTATATAGAAATGCAGTAAAGTCATGCCACCCCTCTATTCTGCCTTGGTTAGACCACACCTGGAATATTGTGTCCAATTCTGGGCACCACAATTGAAGAGAGATATTGACAAGCTGTGTCCAGAGGAAGGCAACTAAAATGATCAAGGGTCTGGAGAACAAGCCCTATGAGGAGCGGCTTAAAGAGCTGGGCATGTTTAGCCTGAAGAAGAGAAGGCTGAGAGGAGACATGATGAGGACAGTGTATAAATATGTGAGAGGAAGTCATAGGGAGGAGGGAGTGAACTTGTTTTCTGCTTCCCTGGAGACTAGGATGCGGAACAATGGCTTCAAGTTACAAGAAAGGAAATTCCATCTGAACACGAGGAAGAACTTCCTGACTGTGAGAGCCGTTCAGCAGTGGAACTCTCTGCCCAGGAGGGTGGTGGAGGCTCCTTCTTTGGAAGCTTTTAAACAGAGGCTGGATGGCCATCAGTCGGGGGTGCTTTGAATGCAATATTCCTGCTTCTTGGCAGGGGGTTGCACTGGATGGCCCATGAGGTCTCTTCCAACTCTTTGATTCTATGATTCTATGATATCCTACCCATTAAAAGCTCAGAACATTTTAAGGGATAATTTCAAACTGTAATGGAGAGATCAAGGTGATATTTTACACTAATAGTGTATATTCTTGCCTAGACATTTTATCTCCCAATCCAAAATGTACTGCTGGGAACTGTGGTAAGAGTAAAGCCATTCTGCCCATATCAAAGATATCCGATTTGGATGAGGCTGAAACAGAATTTCTGGGGTCTGGCCAAAGTTAAACCTTGGAAATGAGGCTATAGCAACCAGCTGGTCTCACACTGACCAAGCAATAGGGCGTGTCTAAAATTGTATTGGTGTTCTTAAAAGCTGCCTGTGCACAAAATAAACCCGCCTGTCCCCTGCCAATCTATCTCAGCATTGTTTATTAGCATCTAACAGTGAAGGATATGCTGAGGGAATACAGGGAAAGGATTGAATGAGTGCATAAGAAGCTAATAAGAGCGATGTAGATTTCGGCTACAGAATCATGGGACGAATTAGTAGCAACTAATTAATTAGAGGCATTGATTTGCATGAAGCAGAATTGATCAAGTTTAATAAATTGAACCTTGTTTTACACATCATTACACTCCAGGAAGATGTGCAGCTTTCTTGTGATTACTTGGGTCATAATCTTATTCACAGATACCTAGGATCAAACCCTTTTGAGCTTATATATATTTCTGAGGATATCTGAGGATTTAATATATATTAACAAATGGGGTGGAGGAGAACAAGTTGGGCAAATTTGCCTTGGTTTCTTCCAGAATCAAGTCCCAATGTATTCAGAAGGCAATAGTGGAAAACAGCAAATTAGAGAGTGAATGGATTGCTGTGAGTTTTCCAAGCTGTATGGCCATGTTCCAGAAGCATTCTCTCCTGATATTTTGCCTGCATCTATGGCAGGCATCCTCAGAGGTTGTGAGGTCTGTTTTGAATATTGATCTTTATTTACTGTTCAAGAGAAGCCATTGAAATGTGGCACATGGACAATTTCAACAGAAAGAAGGAAACAATGAAAACGAACAAAAACTGGCTACCACTATTAAAAAAACTCTAAAATCAGGACAGTAAATAAAGAGCAACACCAATAAAACAGGGGATTTCCTGGCAAGAAACAATCAGGGCCAGCTAACATCCCCTAACAAAAGATACTCCCAGGCAGGAAGAAGCCAGACCTTGAAGCTGCAAGGCTATTCAATGCCAAGATGGTCAATTACAACATCCACACCTGCCTCAAACAGACAAGAGTTCTTTCTCCCACCGTGGACATTATTCCACAGATATATAAACTCCACTTATCCTAGTTTCCACTCAGACCTCACAACCTCTGAGGATGCCTGCCATAGGTGCAGGTGAAATGTCAGGAGAGAATGCTTCTGGAACTTGGCTATACAGCCTGGAAAACTCATAGCAACCCAGTGATTGCAGCCATGAAAGTCTTCAACAATACACAGAGAGTGAAGTTTTGAGGCACCAGAATCCCCCACTGAGAGTTCAAAGTCACAGCAGAAGCATAAGAGTGATAATGGGAAAGGCTGTCAGGACGGTATTCCCGTGGAACAAGAGATTTCAACCTTGCTCTTCCATCTTGAAATACAAAGAGAACCAAGTGTCCAAAAATTGCTCTTAGAGAAAGTTTGGGGTTTCCTCTTAAACTGTGGGCTCTAAAATAAAACGCATTGTCAGAGTTATAGCGATAGGTATGTTTTCTTTTAATTGCTGACACATGAAGACCTGCCTGATCCTAAAGCTGGGGAAAGTGCCTTTTGTAAGACAGGAATTCAAAATGCTGACGTATCTGGAGTCAAGTACACTAATCCCATCTGGTTTGTATTATCTAGAGTGGGAGGACAGAATAAATAGTTTGTTATCCACGCCAACCTTTAAACTTTCAAGTGAAAATCATTTACACTGAAGCAGGATGAACAAAGGAAAAAAGCACAGGTGGAGGTGGCTGTTGTGGCAACACTTTGTGAAGTGTTGTTGCTGTTCTGCAGCTCCCATTCGCTTCACTAAGACATGCAATTAGGCTGTGGCCAAATTTATTATTATAGTTATTAATACTCCGTTTTATCTCCCCCAAAGAAGACTCAAAGCAGTTTAATATAAAAGCATCAGCATAAGAATTTAAAATATAGAAATAAACAAACATTAAAACAGGATTAAATGTAAACAGTATAAAAAAATTCCCAGTTAAAAACCATTAAAGCAAATTCATAGTTAAAAACCACAGCACCCTCTGAATTGATCTCAAAAGCCTGTCTGAATAAAAAGGTTTTAGCCTGCCATCAGAAAGCAGCAGCGGGGAGGTGGGGATACTGGCTTCCCTGGGATGAAGGGAGTTCCAGAGTGGGGGGGGGGGGGATTTGACACCGAGAAGGGAGGTCCGCTCTCTATTTCCCACCAACCAAGCTTGAGATGGAGGTGGGACCAAGAGAAGGGCCGCTCCTGAAGATCCCAGTGTTTGTACAAAGGTTTGTACAAAGGGATGTGGTCAGCCAAATAGCCTTGACCTGAACCATCTAGGTCTTTGAAGGAGCTGCTGCAACAGGGAGGTTGTCCGCTCCCTGTAGCCAGCCCCAGTGAGCAAATGGCTGCAGCTTTTTGGACCAGCTGAAGTTTCCAAGCACTCTTCAGAAGCAGCCCCACATAGCGCACGTGAAAGTCATTCAGATGGGATGTAACTAAGGCATGAACTACCATGGCCAGATCTGGCTTCTCAAGGAACAGACTCAGTTGGTGCACAAGTTTTAATTGTGCAAAGGCTGACACCTGGGTCTTCAGGCTCAGCGCCAAGTCCAGGAGGAGCTTCAAACTGTGAACCTGTGTCTTCAGGGGAAGTGTGACCCCATCCAGCACAGGATGGATCTCTATTCCCTGGTCTACCTCTGTCTTGTCTGGATTAAATTTCATTTTGTTTTTCCTCATCCAGTCCATTACCGATGACAGTGCTGTTTTAGAGTCAGGAGAGCTTCCTTGGTATTAGGTGGAAAGGAGTAGTAGAGGTGGGTGTCATCCGCATATAGGTGGCACCGAACTCCAAAACTCCATATGCTCTCCCAGTGGTTTCATGTATATGAAACCACTGCATGAGGGTTTTATATACATGTATATGAAACAGAATGGGGGGTAAAATGGAACCCTGAGGAACCCTGCAGATCAATGGCTGGGGGTTCGAACACAACCTTCTGGGTACAGTCCTCCAGGAAGGACCAGAGCCAGTGTAAGACAGTGCCTCCTAGTCGCATCCCGGCAAGATGACCCAGAAGGATACCATTATCAATGGTACTGAAAGCTGCTGAGAGATCCAGAAGAACCAAGGACACACTCCCCGTCTAGCTCCTATAGCTACGGAGATCAACAAAAGTCTTCATTTACAAATGAGAGCCAAAATAGATTGTGTCGTTCAGAGAAATTACGTGGGAAGTTGTTAAGGAAATTCACAGGAAATGGAATGATTTCATGCAAGTCAATTAAACAACAAGCTGTTTACCTTAAGGTCAGTTCAGTCAATGCTGCATTAG